GTCCTGCTGGTTCACTATCAGAATTTCTTCTTCATTTGCCCTACTGTTTACCATTAGTGAACTGAAAGTCTGTCTTTGTGTCTTGGTTAAATGTTTTCTCAATTTTAATTTTGTTTTTGGGTTGTCCTTGATTTAATTATTACTTAAATCTTCCTGATATAGTTGCAGTTTAGCTTTTGAGTCTCTAATGACTCACAGACATTCTCATTTTCAAAATATCAGAGAAAGCAACTCATTAAATCAATCACAATCCTTTATCCCAGTTGATACAATCAGCAGCACAATAAGATCAAGCACAACTTGCAAATTGACCACTTGTGGTAGTCATTGATCTATCTCCTTTAAACCATGTGAATTAAATTAAAATCAAGAAACAGCCCAAAATACATTTGCAGTGAATATACTTTTCAATATAGCATCTTTACTATTTAGGATGGGGGCTTAGACAGAGTTAGGACGAGAGGAATAGATAAAGAAGCTAGAAGACATAGAATGACCATACAATCTTTAAGAAACTATTAAACTCAAAAGAGATAGACAGGGTGCAAGAATGACAAGAATATATCCCCTTAACAGTAATAGGGGCTCACTTTCACTTTAAGCTATTGACCCATGAGTGAGGTAAAATAACAGAAGAAAAGAACATAAAGAAAAAAAATGATAAAAAAAAAGAAATCTGAGTTAGGACAGGAGCAGAAACAGAAAGGGAGATTAGGGATAATATAGTGGAGCAAGAAACTGAGTTGGAGAAATAGGACAGAAAAAAGAATTAGCAGAGTGGAATGAGGAAAAGAAAGAAAAAAAATGAATTTGAAGGGCCTCTTTCAGACTATATCTCTTCTGTCATAATATACAATGTGTGCAGCCATGTGCAGAACCAAGTTCCCTGATCTCAGCTAGCCAATGGCAGATACCCTCAACTCAGACTGACCTCAGGCCACAAGGCCCAAATTGAGTTCCCCAACCTGCAGGGGTGAACTCCACACAGTTCTATTACAGTTTTCCCTGGCCCTTTCTTTAAAGATGTTCAAAGCTGGGAGCTCAGAAAAATACCCTTTATGACCACCTATGCCTCTGCATAGTGGGTCCAAGGACTGGCACAAACTGGAGGTCTGGCGGGGGGGGTTGTTTCAGGGGCACCCATGTGGCTTCCTTCCTTGCTGGAGCTGGTAGTGGCCCAGTCAGGGGAGGGCACGACTACCAGGTCCACCAAATGGCCCCAATCCTTTTTTATTCTGAGTCAGGATCTCACTAAGTTGTTAAGTTGCCAAGACTGAACTCAAACTTGTGATCCTCCTGCTTCAGCCTCCCAGAGTGCTAGGATTACAGGTGTGTGCCAACAGGATCAGCCTTTTGCTTCTTCTTTAATCTACTGGATATTCCCTTAGAATCTGCATGAATAAATACATTAGTGGCTGATCCTGGGAACTGTGGAGGAAGTAAGAAAAGTGAGTGTGTCACAAATGAGCAGTGGAAATCTTCCAGAAAATATTGGCAAAGAACACTTGAACACCTGCACACCTTCATTCCCTCATTTCAAGATTAAGTAGAAGATTAAGAGTAGAATCCCTAACAGGGATCTCAGAGAGAAGAAATAATGTTTGGTTTTCTTATAAAGGCATTTAACATATGATTTGAGTGTCTACCAAATACTTTATGGGTTGAAATTCAATATCCATTATGTGAAATTGATTAATTTCCTGATGGTTATGGACACAGATTAGTTTTTCTATAGTGTAGTTTGATTTGTCTAATAGAAATGAGACAGGCTCAGTAATGTTGACAGTGGTGCTGTGCCTGCCAAGCAAGCACAAGGTCCTGAGTTTCATTCCTGGTACAAAAAAAAAAAAAGACGAAGAAGAAACAAAGAAACAGATGAGACAACAACAAAGAAGAATCAAATGGGGATGGGGAAGCATATTTTAATTCTTTTTTACTGTTTTCCCTCTTTTACTCCTACTCCATTTTATCCCACAACCCATGAATTGAGCCTGGGTTGGCTTTTAACTATAATATTGTCCCCAAATTGATAAATACTTAACCCAAAGTTTCTTGGTTTATTTTCCTCTTTGGTTATTTTTCAGGAATTGTCTATGAAATAAACTGGAACAACATGGGTCCCAGACAAGAGAAATCATACACTGACATACACAAAAAGTATCTTATAAAATTATTTCTTTTACTTCACATGAAGAAATGAAGGTATTGTATAAAATAGTTTATTTAGTTATCTTATAAGTAATGCAGCTCACTAGTGGAAGAGCCTGAGAGAGAGTGAGGTGACCAAACATAGTGATAAAAATTAAGAAGAGACAATGAAGCAGGACTTTGACCAGGAATGAACAATCCTCAGACAAGATGGAATATAGCCTCTCCCTCTTAAGGAGAAGCCCCACCATCTACTGAACTCCTGAATTTTAAGGAACCTAAAATATAATGTACTTCCTATAACATGAAATACAGCCTAACCCTTTCTTAGTATTTTTGAGATAATTATAATGTAAAATAATTAGTCCTTTCTATTATCCCAGTTACTGCAAGTACTACATGAAAGGACTTGGCTAGAGAGTTCCAACTGATCATATTAAATCCACGAGACCACTTGTGATAGGTGGCCACTAAGCAACTGAGCAATTCATGTGCTTTGTTTATCTATACTATAATTAACTCTAGATCAGGGGTTCGTGCAGCCAATCCCCAAATTTGGAACTCTTCCTGGAAATCCAGGAGCTATTCTCCTTGTTTCCATTAAAAACTCTCCTAACCACCACCTTTTGTTTGTGACTTCATACCTTGGCATTTACAAAACTATGAGGCAAGTGCACACAGAATAGACCTAAAAGTGTATTTTAAAAGATTATTTGAATTGTATAGTTTAATAGCATATAACTCTGTGCTTTTTAATGTTGATAAAACTGAGCTTCTAGAATGCTGTTCTGACTTATGTAATTTCAAAGCCAAAATTCTAGAATGACATTCCACCAAGCTCCCCCATAATTATTAAAACAGATATTATTAGTCATACTGTTAATGAAGTCAGATTTTTATTTAAACATATCACATGACAATTAATTAACACCAAATATATTATGTCTATGGCATCCTCTGACTAATATGTGTAGTGACACATCAAAAAAAGAAAGTAAAAGGAAATGAGATTGGTTTTAGAAAATGATGTTCTTACCAAATTCCCACCAAACTTGCCTCTTGTCTTCATGTCTCTTGATAATCATATTCATTTCATTACAGCTATACATAGGGCACCACACTATGCATGAAAAAGAAAACTGCCTTATGTTAAAGCAGGCTTCTTAGTAGTGAAGATAAAATATAAAAATGACTGTCACCTAGAGTCATACAAGATGAAATCATATTTTTTTCTATCAAAGAGACCATAAGGGGAAAGGGTGGAATTTTGGGGGGATTGTGCCAGCAGCCTTCACTCAGTAAATGTGGTGTAAACTCATAAGTTGGAAGCGTGAAAGGCAGAAGAGTCATTTTAGAAGAGGTATGGGAGCTTTAGGGAATCCTCAGAACCAAATATTTCAAACTGAAATGTGTCCAAGCACATAAGACTCCTCTGCTGCCAACTCTATGGTTGCTAAAGCTCAGGAAAAGAAAAGGAATAAGCAGCAGCCTAGTAAATACTGTCAGAGCCCTGGGTTGAAATTTAAGTCTTATCCCCAAAATTCCAGACAGACCAGGAAATAATATTCCAAATGTTATTCTTTTCCCCTAGACTGAGAAAGCATGTTAGAAGTGATCATCCTCTTTTCCCTTTGGTTCACAGGAAGAAACTTATAAGTAATCCAATTTCACTTAATATCAAATTGATCTCTATGAATAGAAAAGTCTAAGTCAGCACTGCATTTTCATTGGCTTGAAAAATGATGCTCAGAACCATCTGGCTGAAATTAAAGTTTAGCTTCTCTGCTTGTCTCACAGTTTAGTGACTGTTATTCTTCTGATTTCAAGCGAAATTATAATCAAACACTGAAGAGGTTAATCTAGAGCTATTCTCTGTTTTAAATTACACATTTTAGATATCTTTTATAATTATTTGACAAAGAAACCTACACACATTTCTAGCTCTTTAGACATTTTGTTTCATCTACTGAATACTAGGACACTCTGTATTTGTTCAGACATTTTGGCTGTACAGATGGCTCATAATTCATAATGGAAAGAGGAAAAAGAAGATTTGTCAGTTTGATTTTTCAACCTGTCTCTTTATATATCTTGAGGATATATAACATTCCCAAATGTTTCAGAGACCAAAAAAAAAAAAATTGACATTTTTGTGCTCTTTTTATTCTCAGCTGCTCATTTTATATTTAATGTTTAAGCCAGAGTCTTCTCACTCCTACTCACTGGAGCAGAACTCTCTTGCTTCTCTTGCCTGGAATATTTGTGTCAATCCAAAATTACTTCTTTGGGAAATCTTTGTGCTTCTGTAATAATCCCTAAGCCTAACTTTATTTAGAAGGATGGTGACCTTCCCTCTTATGAAAATGGATAGTTCATTATTTATCAAATCACTCCATTTAGATTTTGAGCCATGCTTAGTGTTAGAAGTTTTCTTTTATTAAGCAAATCAGACAAGAAACCATTGGTTTTGCTCTGACAGGAGAAGCCAAATACTAACAGTCTGTGCCCTTCCACATACGTGTATAAGCTTGTGCTGTTTTGGCACTTCTGCCGATAATGGAACACATACACAAAGTTGATTTCATAAAATCACCTTATTTAGCGGTGCTGTACCCACTTTAGTGAGTGTAAATACACAATGACGTTCACATGAAATCACTCATTATTGACACATTTCTCTGAATAAATTCACATTTGTGCTGATGCACAATTTCTTTGAAAGACTCTATGAAATGGTAAACAATGAAGGGAGTTTAAGAAATAATAAAGATAAATAAAATAAAGATAGAGTTAGTTTGATGTGATAATAAAAGTGTCCAGTCAAACTAATTTTTTTTTTTTTTTGTAGAGTCAGAAGAAGAGACAGAAGTGCCAATTCTGGGTTTCCATTGAATAATCTTTTTGACTTATATTTCCCATTTGAGAAGCGAGAACATCTGCTACCAAATCTAGTCTTCAGCAATAAACACAAAACAGGATGGTTGTTTTAAAATTAAGTCTCTACCAATAGAAGTAGGTTACATATTAGGAAATCAGAAGTATTTAATTAATGAGGAAAATACATGTGATTATATAGATTCATAAGCATTTTCTAAGAAGGAAGGAAGAAGGAACTCTGCTGAAATTATGCAACTTAAATTTTAGCTCCTCTCTGAAACTTACGCTACCTTCAGCTTTCATCATCTTTCACCATATCTGTTTCCTTCGGATGCTCTGTCTGTGTAATGGTCATAGCCCACTTTATTGCGCACAAATCGCCCTTCCATTTGCATTGGCTACTGGAAGACAAGACAGTTAATCACTTTCGCATTCCAGGCATATGAGGAGGAATCAATAGATATTAACTGACTTGATTTAGAAGTTGAATTACTTCATTTCCCAAAGACAAGCTGAAAAGAGTCTATTGATTTATTTCAAGGTCATAGATGTTGATGGTTGAGAATGAAGCTGATTCAGCTTTCCTATATAGCTAGACAGGCTTATTCTATACACACCATTCATAAATTTCATGAAATCATGTTCCTAATGATGTCTTGTAAGCTTTCACACCCGGAACGTGCATTATTCTTATATTTTACAATTCACAATATTGAGCCCTCTATTATCTTGAATTAGAGTTTTTCTATCATAACTGCTCTCAGATGAATGCCATGTATGGCCACACATTTTCACATTAAGTAGTTTTACACAGACACATTAAAAACATTTATACAATTTTTAGATCTTAAGTCATATTATTTAATTACTTTAATATTTTCAAGGGATTTCTCCTCATCAGGAAAAGAGGGAACTCTAATCTTATTAAAATTAAGCAATTAATTCTATTGTACAAAACAATTTAATAATAAACAAGACAGAGTTGCATTATGAGCTGAAAATAAGAATACTAGTTTGTTTTTTTTAAAAAAAAAAAGCACAGCCAAAGGACAAAAGTAATGTTTTTGTGTGAAATTACTGACACCAAACTCACCAAACTTCAGCCTGGGACATAGTTATAAATATTGTCACTGTGGAGTAATAATTCTTCCATGACATTTCACTGGATTTAATGATACCTAGCTAAACTCTAAAGTCATCTAAAGAAATACATAATCAAAAAGATAAAAGGAAAAAGGCCAGGTCCTGGGAGTTTTACCCATGCCTTCTCATTTCAGTAGTGGCAAAGGAGAAACAGAATCGACTAAGTGAAACCTACATGCCCTTCTGAAAAGAAGGAATGTTTGCTTGTGTCAAGATGTTCACAGCACTGCCAAGGAAGCAATGGACCAAGAATGAAGGTCAGTGGTGTAGAGCTGTCTCTAGTCTCACTTCCCCTTGCTGTTCTTATCCTTCAAGGGACTGAGCCCAAAAGAGCCAGTTATTTTAAGGAACACTCAATACATGAAAAACAAAAACTGAATTCTCAGGTATATGAGCAGTATGCTTTGCAAGTATGACCAATTAAGTGACCTTTTATCTCTTGTAAGCTTCACTTTACTAATCAGTAAAGTTAAAGGCTGGGATTGAATAACCTCATCTAATTACTTAAGTAACTATCAGATTGCAATAAACTTTTATATTCAGTGTGCCTACATTTTATTCTTAGGACTTGTTAAGACTAGAAAGCAAAGAGCTATAAGTTCCTGTGAGAGAAATTAAACACCATCTTCCTCCTCCTCATTGTCCCTTGTTGCTACTTATATTGTTATAATCATGTTCATTATAATATGGCAGAATATTTTTTAGAGTTCTATTCTATTTCCCAAAGCAAGCAATTTAGTTTACATGAGTTTATAGTCTTTGACCAGTATAAAAAAATAATTCAACTCCTGTGACTAAACACTTACATAACTTCAAGTAAAAACTGAACTTATTTATTATTGTGTTTCTGTTTATTTCCTCAGCAAATCAACTGTCTCTCTTGGGACCTCATTTATCACTTAACCCTTATGATAATAGTTACTACTCTGTATTAGTAATGACAAGATTTTTCAAAAGTTAGTAATTAACATTGCTGACATATTTCATTTAACTTTCTACATACATCATATTTTGTATTCTTTCTCAATCAATATAATTTACAGAACAAATGCACACTCACAGGACCTTGTGGCACACATCCGTAACGCCAGCTCCTCTCTGGAAGGCTGAGGATTGCAAGTTCAAGTCCAGCTTGGGCAACTTAGTGACTCAGCAAGACCCTGTCTACAACCTCTCCAAAAAGCTGGGAATGTAGTTTGATGTGAAGGTTCTGGATTCAATTCAGTCCCTACTATCATAAAACAAAACACAAAAGGCACTGTGGACCTGTCTCCAGGCTTCATTTCTATGTGATACTTGTAAAAATATATACATCACAGGATTCTGGGGATATCTGAAGATGTGTACAGAATATCAGTGATTCTTTGTGCTGTGTCCTGTATAAGAAGACATACTCTATTTTTGTCATATTTAAGATGGAGCTTTTTTTCTTTTAGATGCAAAATGAGAAGTCATATTAAACAAGGATTAGAGACAATCAACTTTCACTATCCCAGTTTTGAATCAAATGCTATATGATAATAATGCTTTATGCTATATATAATGCTGAATACTATAGGATATAACATAACACAGATATGATTTCCTCAGTCAAATATAGCCCCAATTTTACAGTGACATGAAAGTGATGTATAAGGAATGTTATTTGTAATGTAGTTGTGAAAGTAATGAAGTAAGTCTGTTCATAATTCCACCATATTTAAAACACTTTAGTGGCACACACCTCATTGCTGAAGCTCAAACTCATTAGCATAAAATGTAAATTTTTGTTATTTTGCCCCTGCTTATTCTTTTTTTGTGTGTGTGTTGTGGGGGTACAAGGGATCGAATTCAGAACCTTGCGCTTGCAAGGCAGGCAGGGGAACCACTGGGCTAACTCCCCAGTCCCCTACTTATTCTTCTATCTCTTATCCTACATTCCTTTTCTTTATCTTAGAATTGAAGATTCAACATTCCCAAATGATTTGCAGTTTTTTGAACATACTGCTCTACAATAACCATTATCGCTTCTATTCATGTTGTTTGGGTTGGGTGGGGACCCCCACCTCTAATTCTTCTCTTCCCTATTTGTTTTTCCTTTAACATCATAAGTCATAAACCTGGAAGCATCAACAATCGAGAATATTGTGTAAAATCTGAAATGAAATTTAAATAAGTCCCTAAATATGCTAAAATCAACATCAAAGAAATCTAACAGAATCTATTACTTCTAACTTAAGTACTGTTATTTAGTTTCAGTGTTTATTATAAGTGAGTAAACAACTTAGAAAGCAGATGTGTTTATAGAGAAGCCCTGGTAATCGGTAAGAAGTTGAAAGATGAGATCCAAAAAAAGTAGTAAAGGAAGAGACAATAAAAATTTAAAACATTTATGAAAGATTAGAATATAAAGCAACCTAAATTTTTCACAAGAAATTTCATTATGTATACGTAGTAAACATCGGTAGGAAATTTTACAAAATTATTCTAGGAAGCACACAATAAAATGTTTAAGAACTACAAAAGAGATTGTGTTACTTGAATAGATTAAAGTTATGTGGAGTATAGTAACTGCTCTATCGTATATAAATACAATACCACTTTGTTTGGAAGTCTTGATATATAAGAACAAAGTTGGTCTATTCTAGAGGATAATTATACTAGTGGATAATAACCAACTGTCATATATTACTTTGTTCTTCATTTTGAATTTTGACAATACTTTTTCAAAAGAAAAACTAAATATCTGTGTGTTATTCATAGGTTTTTATCCTCAGCTATACCAATTTATGATATTTGTATTCAAAGAGAATGATGTGCAGCTCTCTACACACCAAAGCAATTTGTTTAAAGTCTATTCTAATATCTTATCATAGATGTTTTGTGATATAAAAACATCAGCTGTCTGACCGTCCATACTAATCCCACTGTGAAGATGAATAAAAATTAACCTGATTGAAAGAAATGGTAGCACAGCAGAACATCTCATGCTCCACCTCAATGCTTAAGCAAGATTTGAGGAAAGGGACACTTGTTTCTATTAATATACATTTTAATTTGAAAACAATCAACAGTGTGTCTAGCACTGTTACAAGAAAAGGGAAAAATATTCTCAATAATGAAGTCAGGCTCTCTTTTTCCATGAACTAGATATTTTCCTTAATGGATGAATAATATCACTACTTCTCTCCTTTAAGCTATAACTAGAAAAGCCTTTTTTGTTTCACTGCCTATTACCAAGTAGGGGTGAAAAATGAATTTCTTTTAAGTATTTCTCATTCACAGCCTTCTTTTTTATTTCTCCATTGTGAACTGCTTATATAGAACATATTTCTGGGATTTAAGGTTTTTGTAGCACTTTTTTTAGCACCAAAATCAAAACACTTTATATTTTTATATACGATGAAATATACACATCCAAAAAAGAGATTATATATATTCTATAGCAATTTACTATTTCTCTTCCTAAAAGACTGAAACTTCATAAATTAAATGGGCATTAAAATAGCAAACATATCTTGTACATGCCAGGGAAATGTATGATAAATTCAGAAAATAGATATGATATAAAAGTTCCTCAGCCAAGGACCTAGTACTTAGATGCCTTTTCTAATAATCCCTAGAGCCATATGGTATTGAAAGAGACCATGAAAGAAGCTGAAGCAAGACCATTTACAGTGATACCTGTATCTGGGTGGGAAGCCTCTTTTCCAGTCTTATTCGCACACACACACACACACACACACACACACACACATCTGAGGGCATTTGGAGAAAGCACAGCCTCTGAGCAGAAATAAACTCTCCAAGTGTGGTTCTGCTGGAATAGATTCCAGCACTTCCCACTTAACCTTGTAAGCTGTGATACCGCAAGCTATGCGCTAATGTTAAGGTTCTTGATAGAAATGCCTAGGATACAGTTAATATTCAACAAACTATAGCTGTTTACACAATTAATGTTCACTAAACTTCAGCTGTTTCTGTGATTACACCGACTAGGCATGCAGGAAAGAAGGCCTGGTAACCCTCCCCCACGACCCACACCTCGGAATCCATTCTCATTGCACTTGGTTAATAACAGCACACGAGGGAACACACAATCATGTTCTTACTCTCCCTGGCTATATATGGTTTTGTCAGTCATGTTACAAAGAGGTCTGGATATTTTCTTTCTTTTTTTTTTTTAAAGCCAAGTAAGGACAACGAAAGGAAACACTAGAGTTCCAGAAATGCCATCACTAATGAGAAAGCTATTGGGACTCAGGGTCACTCTCAGAAGAGATGCTGGCTGGCTGTCTCTTCTGAGACTGATGTCACACTGATAATCTCGGCAAAACCATGGTTCAAAAGCAGAAATCAGTTATCAGTTCTACATGGCTTCGAGTCAAAAATAGTACTCTTTATTTCTGCTTCCCAGTGAAAAGCAGCAAAGTAGTGTTTAAATGATTTGATTGGTTTTGTGACTGCAGAGACAGCTGAGGTGAAAGAAATGATTAGTCAGAAACCAAAAAGGAGCACAGTTACTCGGTTTGGAATCTAAATCAGATTTGGGAGATCACCTGATTCAGCTAAATGAAAAACTGTCTTCATCCAAATTCCTTTTTCATAGAACAAGAGAAATGTGAACAACTAGAAAATTAAGCAGAGCACCCTTCAAGGGTATTAGCAAAAGAATGTCGTGATGCTTATAGAAACAAATGTTAATCATTGTGGCCAGCATGGTGTGTGCTGGGGATATCACTAAACTTATACCTATCACTATACCTAGTTATACAGTTCCTTCAGTGACTCTATTTCTTCAGAGCTATGCCTTAACTAAAGTATTGAGTTTTTACTTCAATTGGGGGTTGGGGGTAATCCTCTTCACATTTTTTAGAGAATAAAAGTAAAATATTAATATCATTTTTTAAAATTCTGTAGTTTACTGTTTAGGAAATGCCAAATGATGGGAACTAACAAAGATGCATTTAATTTTGTTTGCCACGTACACAGTTAGCCCTTGAGTGGTTTGCCAAGTATTTTACATGAACTACCTTATTAATCCTCACAACAACCCAAGAAGATAAGTAGATCTATTTTTATTCCTAGTTAAAAATAAGGAAAACGTCTCAGGGAAGTTCAGCAATTTGCCAAAATACTATTAGCTTAGAGGAGGCAGTAGCCAGCCCAGATTCATTTGCCTGTGAGCCTTTGTTTATTACAATTCATCACAATGTCAAGTCAGCCCTACTCTGACTTCCAAAAAACATAATGGGTGCCTCTCTACGAGAAACTGCCTTCTCTCTAGGAAGAAGGCATTGACAATTCTAGATGTATTGTGTACTGAGACTACTCAGGACTGCCTTGCTCCTTTTCTGAGGGCTGAAATGTCTTCCTTCATAAGCCAAAGAATCTCAAGACCAAGGGCACTGCTTCACAGCACAGGAGTTCAGCTATGAACACATATGTGGATTCCTGGAGGAAAAGAATGAAGGGTAAATAGCTTATTTGGAAAGAGTTTTGAGCTTCAGAAATGAATGGAGTTCATGCTCATAAGTAGAAGAATGCAACATTTGGTATATAAACATTTTGCCTCAGGTTGTAAATAATTAAGTCAGATTCTTCCCATAGCACAGAGCTTTCCTTGTTCATGATGAAATCACTCTGGATTTTGTTTTTCTACTCCATTCATTAGCACTGACAATGGTTGAGAAAAGACTAAGACAACAATGCCACTGAGACTCTGCTGGTTTCCCACGTTACTTGTTGAGTCACTTCTGACCCAGCTCCAGACCAGACTCTAATGAGTCTGATCCTTGAATCCCTCCTCTGAACTCAGGATGAACCTCAGCACCCTGCTTTTCTTAAAGACTATATGGAAAAGTAATCATCTCATATACTTTATATCTTATATTGCAGCTACAGTGCTGACTGCACAAGGCCCAGAGCCAAGGTATATATGTCTTTTCAATCCTAGGGTGCAAGGAAATAATGTGAAAGTGCTTTACAAGTGATCAACCAAAACAAGGCATCATTATTATAAGCTTTTAGAAGTCCAGCATAATTGTGAGCACACAGAATCATAGCAGTTTGTAACAGCCATGA